GATATCCAGATAAAATAAAGATTCGGACAGTTCATAAAATCTAGTATAAATTCAGAAGTTCTACAAAGATGGATTCTCCAAATCCAACCCAGCATAGTGGAAGTCTCTCATTCCATTACTGTGAATAACCAGTAATGGTTAGTATCCAACATGCAGTAGCCTCAGCAGAAAAAATCCTGCAAATCGGGAAATGCATCTCCTGAAGTGGCTTGATGCAGACATTTTCTTCAGCTGTAATCTTAGTGCAAGCTCAGAGAATATATAGGAAAATGACTCCTTCTCTGTTGTGTAGTGAAAAGCAGAATCATAGAATCATAGAATAGTTAGAGTTGGAAAGGATCTTAAGATCATCCAGTTCCAACCCCCCTGCCATGGGCAGGGACACCTCACACTAAACGTGTCACCCAGGGCTCTGTCCAACCTGGCCTTGAACACTGTCAGGGATGGAGCATTCACAACCTCCCTGAGCAACCTATTCCAGTGCCTCACCACCCTAACAGGAAAGAACTTTTTCCTTATATCCAATCTAAACTTCCCCTGCTTAAGTTTGAACCCATTACCCCTTGTCCTATCACTACAGTCCCTAATGAATAGTCCCTCACCAGCATCCCTATAGGCCCCGTTCAGATACTGGAAGGCTGCTATGAGGTCTCCACGCAGCCTTCTCTTCTCCAGGCTCAACAGCCCCAACTTTCTCAGCCTGTCTTCATATGGGAGGTGCTCCAGTCTCCTGATCATTCTCGTGGCCCTCCTCTGGACTTGTTCCAACAGATCCATGTCCCTTTTATGTTGAGGACACCAGAACTGTACATAGTACTCCAAGTAAGGTCTCACAGGAGCAGAGTAGATAGGCAGGATCACCTCCTTCAACCTGCTGGTCATGCTCCTTTTGATGCAGCCCAGGATTATGGTTGGCTTTCTGGGCTGAGAGTGCACACTGCTGGCTCATGTTTATTTTCTCATCAAAAAAGTAGTAGGTAAAGTACAGAGAGATGTAGGAAGATGCATCAACTGGAAATCTCCTCTAGACAAAACTATTATAGACACTGAATGTAGTAGAATATAAAAAGACAGTAGATTTGCTATCGGTTGAAATCAAGATTGGATGCCTTTCTGAACTATAAACTGTAATTGAACCACAAGTTATTTGCTCAATAGAAGAATTATTGCGTGTCCTACATTGTGCAGGAAGTCAGAATTATTACTTCCCTTCCTGGCTTTGGAAATTATGAGGCAAATCCTGGTCAACTTCTAAAACATCAGTACACACAGGATCTGAACTGACAAATATATTTTTACAAAGAAAAACATTCCACATCATTTTTACTGGTGGGAAAATTCACAGGCCTAACTGGTCTGTAATTACTGTGTTTGATAATTTTCTATGAGGCATATTTAATTTTTTTTTTGTTTATGTAACCGGTTTTATTCATATTTAATACCAAGAACAATTACTAACAGCAAATCTTACACTATATTAATGTAATAGTTAAATAATGCATGCTGGAGAATTGTTAGCATGTACATAATGCAGAATAAAACACATGGTACTTCAGCAGCTCCTTAGATCAAATACCTGTGGGTGCAAAAGGAATTTTTCTGATTTCAGTTAAAATTGAAATAATGTTTTCTGAATTGTAAAGCTAGACTAGTACAAAAATGGGAGGAGGTTATGGTCACAGCTTTTTTTGTTATCAGAGAGTCACAAAAGATGACTAGCTCATCTGCTAGAAGGTTGATTCACAGATTCAGTAGGAAGCTTTGATGGGAAACCAAGCTTTTGTCTAGTAGGAAGTGGATAAAAAGATACCATCTTTATTTTAAGAACTGTTTCTCACTTTGTGATTTCAGAGCATTCTTCAGTCAGGCATTAAAGTTCCTGTTGGCCCTTTGTAATTTCTAAAAATCTCTGAATAATTTCTGCTGCACTTTTTTGGTTTTAATGACATGCATCTTTCAGAATACTGGTGAGAACTTTAAAAAGCACAATTTTTGCTTCTTTGTAAGAATAGAAAGATTAATCTATTACATCTTGCAAACCTCCAGTTTTTTTTGACATTACATGCGGTCTTTTGAAAAGCATTTCCATTGTTGAATGGTCTCTCAGTATTTGTTTTATTTGTCTCTGTATCTCGGCATGCGTATCCTTGACTTGTTTGGCATTTGGTTGCCTCCACTTAGGATTCATTCTGACTTTGCTGATGGTATATATGTATGTATATATTGTCCAAGATGAAGTCACACTAAAATCAGGGTTGGGCACAACTATAGCTGGTTGTGATCAATACTGAAGACATCTGTGTGGGATGAAGTATGCAGAAATGAATAATACCTTAACGTATGTTACTTACTGTAAATGCTTGTACATTTTATGGCAGTTGTTCCTGTGTATTTAAAAGCTTTAAATAAGAGAAGATGACTCTGTTTCTCAAAAAAATGTTCCACACCAGCAGTTCTCACTGAAGATAATGATGAAGCATAAATACAGAACAAGTAGCAACTTGTAGCCTTGAGGTGACAACAGACAGAATGAGCATTTCCAAGATGCCAGTGTATTCTGAATTTGATAGATGGGAATGTTATATTGTGTTCCTTTGTGATAACAAGTCTCAAAAACCAAGTAAAATTTAGAAATGAGGAACATTTTCTGCAGATTCATCATTTATGAGACAAAGTGAAATAGGTTAAATAAATACATTGCTAGTCAGGTGGCAACTAAGAGGAAAGAGATGCATTGTAACTTATGCATATTAGGTGGTTGCAGGACCAAAAAGGAGCAGAATTAAGTCCAGTAGTATAATTATATCCAGTATGTATGGGTAATTTGAAGCAAGCAAATGAAACTCAGAGAATGAGAATTTAACTGAAGCATAATAAAATTTCCTGACTGATAGGATTGTATGGATTTTTTTTTCAGTGGAGATAAAACACAAGTTTTTGAGACCCTATAGTTGTAGTATATTATATAGCATACTTTAGGAATGGAATATGTGATATGAAGATCATGTCTGCTTGGCAGAAGGGCCCAAGAGCCTTCAGAACTTTCCCTCATTTCTGTAAAAAGTACTCATCATTCACTGTCAATGGAAAAGCTTCTTGCTTCAGTAGAAATTGGATTTTATTCTGTTTCTTACATGTTTATTAAACAGAAATAGCGTGATTTGTACTGTGCTTACATAGAAAAGTTTAAAATGAACCAAAGATGGAGAGATGTGTTGTGAAACAGAGATAGAAGATGAAACTAAATAGGAACCCAACAACCCTGATCATTGATGGGCAAAAATTACAAGTCAGTTAGCAGAGAGGAAAGCAGGCAAATCAAGATGTTACCTTATGCTGATAGAAATATGAAGAGAATACAATCCAGCATGAATTTCAGTTAGATGAAGCCAAACCATAACACCAACCTTGAATGTGCTTGGATGTTACGGAAGTTTGAATCTGGATCGACTCCAAACACAGCTCTGTCAGCTCCTTTAAGTTACAACAGTTTATTTTGTGTGCAGGATCTTTCTTTTTTTTTTTTTTTCTTTTCTTTTCCAACCTTAGATCCACCCAAAAGCTCTGAGAAGTATTAAAGTTTATAACCTTTGGCTTGCGCTGACAATCAGAATGAGAAGTGAATGCTGATAAATTGTTTAATAACATACTATAGAGCTCTACTTCTGGCGCTTAATAGTATTATACCCGTGCTACAAACCACAGTGAACAAACTGGTATAGCCTCTTCTTTTTTATATTCTTTTCACTTTACAGCATCCAAAAGGCAGATTTCAGGCAGCTCATCTCTGTTGAATATTATACTTAGTCTTTGTATTCGTTCACTCTTTCATGTTGGAACTTACAGGGTAAGCAAAGAAGAAATCTTTTAGACTATACTAATTATGATTAAGTTTGGGTTTTTTGGTTCTGTCAAGATATAGTTCTCCTTCATTGTCTCTTGGAATCATATCTATTTCTTGTAAAAATCGAAAACTCTGATACACATTGTGGAAGACGCTTTGTCAATGGAACAAAACTCTTTATAGTGTATACCGATGTATGCTACTGGTAACTTTGTGCCCTAGCTTTGGCACCCTGCAAAATATTTTACAGTGAAAGAACCAGATTAATTATGATCTCCTACTAGTTTTGTTTCAGCATTTAACACCTCTGCAAAGCATCTAACATCTTGTCTTAAATTTAAAATGTTGGGAATTCTTTTTATATTATTGTGTTTTTCAGCATATGTTTCTTACTTGATAGAAATATTGTGAAATCCCAGTTTTTCCAGAAACAGTTAAGTATCTGATGTCATTGACATTAATACTGTAGCTACAGTAATGCTAATTATGGAATTAATTTTTCTTCTTTCTTTTCCTCCATAATTTGATTATCCAGAACTGTTGTCTTTCTGAATGTTTTCCCTTTTTGTTCACAATAGCTGTGAATTCAATGGAGCTGTGTATGTTTAGAAGTGTTTGTATAATTAGATAGCAATTTATTAATAGTATTAGTTAAAAAAAAAAAGAAAAAGAAAAAGAAAAAGAAAAAGAAAAATCGGTAATCTGTTCAATGTGCCGAGGAGATGTACTTTACAGCTCTGTCCTGGCAAAGTGAGTGGAATGGTGTTGTATGTCAGTTTACTGAATCACTCTGAAATGTCATGTTGCTGTGATTTGCCAAATGGCCTTGCAGCCAGATTTTCTCTCCCCTTTTTCTGTAGCTCTGGGTCTACAGGGTGCAGGTCATTTAAAGTTTTCACATTGGACATGGTAGATATAATAATATTATACTCCCATTTTTTTTTTTTGAAAACCAAGTGCAAACCCCATTCTTTTTCACTAAATATGTGGAATGAAAATATTCACTGCATTTTAAATAAGATGTCAAATGCTGGTTTTTAACAGAGCAATTGGTGTTATAGGTAAGCAAAATTACTGAAAAAAAAAAATTTAAACATTGTGAGATTTAGTGTTCATTCTCTGATGTGGTTGTTTGGGTTTTTTTTAATATCCACAGGTTGTTCGGTGTCACTTCTCTTACTCAGACAAACTGCTCAAGCACTTGGATGATCATCAAAAATCAAGAGTTACATTGGTATCACCATGCTAATCCAATCTTACTGCTGGTGATGTACTACACCCTCGCAACTCTTATCCGTCTCTGGCTACAAGAGCCCATTGTAAGGGTAACTTCCTTCTCTTTTTTAGCACTAATGACTATGAGACCAGCCAATGCAGATACTTGCTTAGAGAAGTATAAATATTCAGGAAAGTTAAGGGAAACAGACAGCAAGTGTAAGCTGGTACCTTCAGTTTGGTCTTTTTCTATAAGTGTGTTCGAGAGTTGTATCTTGCAGGGGTTAGATGGTTATTTTCAGAATCAGCAGAACTATTTATGTAAGGCATGCTAATGGCAGAGCATTAATGCTTACTCTGATATGGAAAGCCAGTATCAGTGAAGTATTGTGGTGCTGTTGAATGGAAGGCAAACACTTGTCTAGCAGAACTGAAGTAGGATACTTGGCTGGCACAGGATCCTGTAAGACAAGACAGAGCTTTCCAATTTTATTACAGATAGAGAAAAAAGATTCTTAAAGCCTTTCCTTCTGAATCTGTGCACCTGAGTGAAAATCCCAATTTTCATGTAAGAGCAAGAGAAAATGGAGTCAAGAAGTAAATTTTTACTTCTTCCAGTATCAGAGGAAATACAAGAATCCAAAGGTACCTTAAAAGCTGAGAGTATAAAAGGAAAGATCCCTAACATTATTTATTTTTATCTCCTGATCCTCGGAGGCTCAACATGAATTTTAGAGTTCAGGTTTTGCAGTGCTGTAAACTGGAACGAAAATACTCATGACTGAACTGTGAATTAGTACAGTTCATAGAAGCAAGTAAAAATGTTGAAGGTTTTCTTATTTTAAGGTCTTATTTTTTGTATAATGAATAATGTAACAGTTTAACATTTGAAAAGGCAGACAAAATATATCACCTCTGAATTGATTTGTCTGCTATTTGGGGTTTACATATATTGGGCTTCATAATAAGAGATAAATGATGCCAGAACTGTCAGCTTGAGTTACTAAAAAATGACATCTTAAGTTTCCAGAAATCTTAAGATTGGCTTTTCTAAAGTCACAAGACTGTGATCCAGTGCCCTCTGGCATTGGCTTCTCTTAGGGGTTTTTTTTTTTTTTCCTATTATTTTTTCTGCAGCTGCAGCACCTGGAAACTTGGTTTTTTTGTTGTTTTTTTTCTTTCCTTAAGTGAAAATTGAGATTTCCAGATAGTACTATGATTTTATCACTGGGACTGTAACAAAAACTTTGCATCTCACAAACTGCATAGTGAAATCATGCGAACTACTCACAGAGGAGTAAACATATGTGAAATGCAGTTACTGGGAGCTGTGTGATCTCAGCACCTCTGGGAATTCATTTCTAGTGCCCAGGTTGTTTCCTTCAAATTTTAACCATCTTAAACTTTGTGTCTTGGTCTAAGTTAGGTACTGTGCTTTTTCAGTGGAGAGGAATGGGCCTGTCTATCTCAGGACAGACAAAATCCTACAAATTCCTCCAGGGACTAGAGAGGACCTATAGTGGACTTGCCTGCGCTTCTTTCTTTTAGACTACTTGTGTTGTCTGAGATAGATATTCCCATAAGACACTAAGATCAGTCTCTGAGAACTGGAAATAAATCAAATGAGAGCTGCTTTATAAGCAATTGAGCTAGAACGAGTAAGTATTAAAAGAGATTAATTTAGGAAAAGTTGTCTCAAACCCAGGACTACATGAGAGGCAACAAAGTCTTGGCACTCCCGTGGGAACTTCAGATTCCAGAGGAATGATGCTTCCCTCCAAAGATTAATGGACATTGTAAAGAAAATGATACTCATGCATTAATGCTTATTTTTGACACACAGGATGTAGTGATGCAAATGTTTGTCATTAGAAAGAAATGCTGAGATTTGCAAAATTTACCATATTTTACACACTTTCTCCTTATGAGTTTTTCGTTTGGTTTGGTTTAGTTTTGTCCATATGCATTTCAGTTTTCCTTTAATGATGCCATGGATCAGGAGTTAATCTTTCTCTTACTAGCTTTCTCCTGGCAGACTCCATTGTCAATTATTTAAATCTAGAAATAATTGTACTCCAGGTTTCATCGAAATGTATTTTGACTTGTAAATTTGTAGTGTATTTGATTCATTATGTTGCTAAGTATATAACCTCCCTTCGCAATCCCCAGTGATTTCAAAGTGACATTGTATTTAGGATCTCAGCACTAACCTACCTATAGTTGGATGGCAAAGACAGTATGCCAGCTGCTGTAAGGCAGTTGTTCTCTGCATACTGCTGTCATGTACGGTTAAAAGTAGCTCATTTTAGAAGTTTTATTCAAAAGAATCTCTTGAACTAAACCTGTTTTGAATAAAATGTGTATGATAGATTGTCATAAGCGGATCTTTATTCAGTCTAAAAAGATGTATTTAAGCTAAATATGATACTGGCATGGCAGGTTCTAAAAACAGAGTAAGAAATGCAGACCTAAATCTTGAGTTTCAGGCTAAGTTTTCTCTGTATGTGTGCATTTGTCCTTGTTTCGAAGTATGGCATGTATGTGATGTCAGTGTACAGTGCAGGATTCTGTATGGATGTTACTCATGCAAAACGCCCTTGGCAGTCAGCGCAAGTTTTACTTTTCTTATGCCCTCTGCTTTGGATCCTGATTTGTTCTAACCTTGAGTCTTGTGAAATTCTACCTCTGCAAATAAGAAGCAGCAATCTGCCTCTGGAGATTTCAGCTCATAATTTTAACTGCTAGTTCTGAATATATGAATAGGGCCCATTCATTCTGTCCAGTGAGTGGTAAGGCATAGTACAGAAGTCAACAGAGTTACAGCAATTTTACGTAAAGTTCTCTTATAGAATTTTTAGAATTGTTTGAATTAAGACTCATTTGAGAGCTGCTCAGGTAGTGGAAGAACTGGAAGAGTTAGATAAGTCGAAGATCTTTCAGAAAGAAGTTGCAGTCATATGAGTAGTACTGTGTTTTCTGACTTTTCTTCCTCTGCTGAGGAAGAGAAAACATGATTTCTCACTGTTCCATATAGTTTCTTAGGCTAAAAATATGTTACTAAATATAATTTTCTATATCTTAGGTCTTTTGGGTTTTGTTCTTTTTTTTTGTCACCCTGGTGCCAAACTAAATGCTGTTGATAAACAGTTCTTTATGGTCCACATTAAAGTTTCAAATGACAGTGACAAGTATTTTAAGCACAGAATCAGTTTATTTCATCTTACAGTTTGGCTGGGAATGCCTTTTTACAATCAAGCATAGATACACAATCATACGCTAAATGTGGACAGTTGCCTCTGAGAAGTAAAACTAAATAATTATTGTTCATCTAAATCGCATTTAAAATACAGGACCTAATGGTTAGGATCAGAATTGGGAGACTTTCAAAACCAGCTAGGATGTTTGGATGTCCTATTCCCATGGGTAGCTTTGCAGACCTTTGCCCAGAGTCCCGATTTATTCTTACCCTATTGCATCAGCTGATTTTGCATAAGCAATGAGAACACTTACCACCAGCTAGTTCCCATTAAAAGTATAATTTGGAACCCTGCCTTTGAAACACCTCAAGTTCAGACAAAAGCTAGCTTTACACCATGAGGTATGTCTCTGTTGGCACTAGAGAGAGTTTAAGTGAAACAGCAAGTACCAGGGCAGATGCGTATTTCTGTTGCAAACCAAGTCAACTTCGCAAAACTTCATTTGAAGCAGAAATGCAAGCATCTGTTAAACAGAAAGGGCAAAATAGACAGGAGAAAAATTTTAAGTCCTTCCAAAGAGACCATTCATGTTGAAGTAAAATATGACAATTAGTTGACTGGTTGTTTTGTAGGTAATAGCAAGGTAAGTTCAAAATAATGCTACTGCTGCAGCTCAGCAATGTTCCTGAACCTTCACTTAAGTCCTACTGAAGTTAGTAAGACCTTGCCCCAGATTCCAGGTTCCACAAGCACTTGTGTGATTTGCTGAGTAGGGGTGGGTTTATGAAGCAAGACTTTACAGCTGTACTAATGAGCATTTGGCTCAATATGCTGAACAACTGATACAGGTGGACAATATGATGAGAGGAAGTAGAGTTTTTGTAATTCTTTGATTTTGGTAATTCAAAGTGTTGGGCTTTGGTAAGTTCAACAGCAGTGTAATGCCCTACGTGAGCACTTTTCCTATTAGAAGTACATATGTATATATTTAGTACTACAGCACTTTTTTCACAGGAAAATAGGTTTTTTTAAACATTACTTTGAAGCACAGGTAAGTTTACCTTTCGATCCTCACCATTCCTGCTAGTTAATACATAAACATTCAGGCATTAATGAATGTCAGAGTGGAACAGCCACTGCTATAATTAATCCATAATATTCACTTTATGTTCTTGCATACCTTCCTCTGAAATGTTCATGACCTATTATTTCCATCAGAGCCAAAAATCTAAACACCACATGAAGTCTTGGGAGGAGAGGAGAAACCAGAAAACTAAGGAAGTATAAAGGGAAAATAGCAATGAAAATAAGAAGTAGGGTCAAGGTCTATGATTCAGAGTGAGAAACTGAGCAAAGGCTGAGAGCAGAGTTAACTTCAGTAGCGTCAACTTCTCCCTGATGGTATCGCAGGGCTAATGAGTCCTGCTGAGCAACACTGTGCTGGAGATGCTCACACTTTCACATGCAGCCCACTGGCTCCAGAGCACTCCCTTCCTCTCTTTGATGCCCCGTGGTTGAGCTTCCTTCTTCACTGGTATGAACAGCAAGATTTGGTGCTTTGTCACAGCTCAGTTGGGAAATTCAAGGAGAAAATGGCACAGTGAAGGAAGAGATTTGGAGGAGCCTGAAGAGGAGTTGTAACAGCGCATGGTTTGTATACATATACCCAGGTTTCCTGCTTGTCACTGTGCTATAGGAACATCCACATTAAGTCTATTTAGGAGGCCCCATACCCCTGCTGGGCCATGGAATTAAGGTGCAGTTCAGACTAGTGCATTAGCAATACTCCTCAATTTAGTGGTAGCAGTTCCTGTCACAGATGAAGCAGCAGAGCATGTTATCATAGGCAATCACAGAGTCGCAGAACAGTCCAAGTTGGAAGAGACCTCTGGAGATCTTCTAATGCAACTTCTTGTGAGAGCAGGGCCTCAGATTAGGTTGTCCAGGGCCAACTCTTGTATTTTTCCAGCAAAGGAGCCAATGCCACTGATTTATTGTTCTCATGGTGATTTTTTTTTCATTATTTTTAATATCCAGAAGACATTTCCCTGAATCTAATTATGCCATTAGCCTCTTGTCTTATAACCATGACTTCCTGTGAGAAGAGCACCTCTGTCTTCTCTAAAACTACAGTTTAGGTACCAGAAGGCTGAAAAAGAACCTAATTCCTTCACCCTTTAGCTTCTCCAACCCCTTAATCATCTTGGCAATTTTCTGCTGGACCATCTCCAGGTTTTCCATGTCTCTTTTGATTTGGGGGATGCCAGAACCGAATTGCAGGTATGGCCTGACACTTGCCAGGTACAGTGGAATAATCACATCCCTTGATCTTCTGGCAGTACTCTTGTTGATGCAGTCCAGGACATGTTTGCCTTCATCGCTGCCAAAGTTCAGTGCCGGCTCATGTTCAGCTTGCTCTGCTCAAGGACCCCCTGAGCCTGTTCCACAGAGCTGCTTCCCACACAGTCTGTCCGCAGCCTGTACTATTATGTGGGTTTATTCCAGGTGCAGGACTTTACCTTTGTCTAGCTTATCTCCGTATGGTGGCTTTTGCTTTTGTCCTGTCCACCTCACCTCATTGTTCAGTGTCATTCACAAACTTTGTGTGGGTACAATTCCATCCAGATAGTTTTGAAGGTACTGAATAGTAGCAGACCTAGTGCCAATTCGTGAGGAACTCCACTCATGACAGACAACCATTTTGACTTCGAGTCATTGCCCTGCTTTGTGCAAGAGAGTGTAGCTAGTTCTCTGTCCATCTTGTTGACCATCTGTCAGGTCCTTATCTTACCAGATTGTATGCAAAGGTCATGTGGGACAGTGTGTCACAGATGCTAAAATCAAGGTAGCTGACATCCACAGCACCCCTTTCATCTACTCAGTCAGTTGTTTCAGCATTAAAAGCAACCAGGCTACCCTTGGTAAATCCGTAGTGGCTCTTTCCAGTCACCTTGTCCTACATGTGAGCATGAGCACAGATACTTCTGTGGCTTGATTCAGAATCAAGACTAGATGAGCCTAAGTGGATGCCCAGCACTGACTAGTTTGGTTTATGCTGATGCATGGAATGGTGAATTCGGTTAGCCTTTAACAGTTGATATGTTTGCTCAAAAGGTCTTGATCCTTTCAATTCCTTGGTTGTTAGTGAAGAAGAATTGGCGTATTACATATATAGGCAGACTGAATTTTCTTCCAATACACTTACTTGAAAATTAAACATCTGTGTACTAGCTTATGGTATGACTATATAGTAAGGTAAAGTAGTATGTGGAGGTCTGTGTAATTTTGATGTAGCTATCAGGAAACATCTTGGCATTGATGGACTAGCAGTTATAGAAAAGTTCTGCCAACGTTTCTGAAAATGCCATTTCAGTAACTGTCATCGCTCATAGACGGAGTGTGTTAGACACTAAAAAATATTTTAAGGACATAATTTGGAGAGGGGTTATCGATTAGGGGAACATTTAAATTCCTCTGGTAAGATTGTTTAGAGAGCTGTAACTAGCCTTGTCATTTGTATTGTTTAGCAGATGCCTGATGAAGAAAAATCTGTTAGCAGGGAAGATGACAAAGAAATAGCCTGCAGCCCAGTTCCAATGACAGCAGAGAGAAGACGCAGTCTGTGGTATGCAAGCCACTATACAACTGATGAAAGAAAAGTAAGGCTGGAGGGGGAAGGGTCTCTGTATTAATTGTATTTCAATCAGTTAATTTTATCACAGTTACTTTGAGATTAAGGGAAGCAGCATTATATATGTTGCAAATAAGATCTTTATGTGTGATTATATAAATCAGGTAGAATATGAAGGCTGTGTGGCAGAGTAAGAATATATTTTGTAAAAGTTAATAAAAACAAGAGCCAGTGTAAGGAAATAAAGGAAGAGCATGCTGATGTTTTTGGCTTCTGCATTTAAGAAGTTTAGGGTCAGGCTTTTGGCATAAGGCCATTATCTTTGTGCAAAACAGCTAGAAAGCCTGTCAGGGAGCTTAATCCTGATGTAAAGAACTGATCGGCCTTGTAACTACTAATTAGCATTGTCATTGGTAAGGGGGGACTGCCATCTTATCTTCCTCCAAGCTACTGGTGTCCTCGGTGAATATTTATAACAGGGCAGTTAAGGCAGTTGGTGTAAAAGCCTCTGGAAGGGTCCAGCTTTCTGCCATCTGTGCTCACCAGATGCAGTGCAAAATTTAATTTGATGAGTTGCAGTTAAATTTGGGATCTACAAACACTCGTTGAGCCACATATACTCAAGCCCCAAGAACTTCGCCATAATAATTGTATTGGTAAACGGGCTGGCAAATGAATGAAGTATCACATTGTCTATTAGTGTAAACTTTTCATTGGAAGTATTTTTATAATGACAACAATTCTAATGATCACTTAAAAACTTAGTTTTTAAGCACTGGATCATTAGAAAGACATTAGAAAGCAGTTAATCAGTATCGTGGAGTACTGATTAATTCTTTGACCTAGAATTTAAAATTTCAGTGCAATACTTAGTTTTGATTTAGAATTCACAGGAACATACAGTACAGGTATGTCAATGCTATGGCACACTAAATATCATTTTATTGATTATGGTGTACAATTCTGTTTGCTTTTTAAGAATTCTTTCTGAATTTCTTAGTGCAAATCTGCAAAAGTCACCAAACATGCATGCATGTATTCAAAAAGTTAGACTTACTAATGCTTAAGCCATGCTTTTTAATAATTTGTCCTTGCATTGCTTTTTGCAGCTTCTGTCAATGACCCAAGATGAATACAAGCCATCGGATGTTAGTATACCACTAGTTTTTGTAATTTTGTGATCCTCCTTAATGTGTGTAAATACAGATTACACTGATATATACAGATAAAGCCTTAGATGACATTTTTTAAGATGTCCTTTTTATGGTTAGCCTGCCATTTACCCTATAACCTGATTATCCTAAATATAATTGTCTTTTGCTTCCTTAATAATTGCACTGAGAAACCACTGATTAGCCCTGAAATTGATCATTTGAAATTAAACTGCTTGTAGTATTACCAGCTGGCAAATGATCTTTGCTATTTCATTGGTTTTAAATGAGATATCAAAATATGCTTTCTAATGCAAGCCGTCTTTAAACTTGATTTAGCTTCTTTGCTGTATTTTTTCTTTCATTCATGTTGAAATGCTAAGGCTCTTAAAGCATGACTGACAACATATGAGTTTAATTTGCAGATTAGAGAAAGTCCAAGTCCTTGTTTGAACAGACAGCAAATGATCCATTTATCTTGACTGCTATAGACCGTAGCAGACTCTGAAAGCAGAAATATCCCCTTTGTCCAGTATGCACAGAAGAATGAAAGATGCAGATGAACTTTGGGAACGGCTGTAACCAAATCTGAATGTGCTCCACAGCCTGTGCTTGATGTAGCTGCTGGATATAATATAACCCAGATACTGTGCATTGTTCCAAAGGCGAATTATGCTCCTATCTCACAGACTAAGCAGAAGCCAGTCTTCAGCATGTATGACCGTCAGTAGCCCACTGCATGTGAATATCTGCCAATACAAGAGAGATTTATGACTGTGGTTGCTGGAGCCAAAATCCAAGCAAGCGCAAGGGCTGAAATTTAGGTTACAAAATTGAAAGAGTGCAAGAGTGTTGAGTTAGTACTACCAAATGGCATAAATGTGGCATCAATAGCAATAATTACTGAACTGGTTTTTATTAATAGCAGCAAAGGTAGATCTCACCAGTAATAATTTAAAATGGAAAGTAATTCGTAATCATTTCTTTCATAACTACTGGAAACAATTAAATGTGAACTAAAGTCTGAAAATCTTGTATTAGTTTTCCTAAGTAAGAGGATGAATTTTTTGTTACAGCTTTAGCTTAAGTGCAGGATATATAGTGATACATTTCTAGATTGTCTGTAAAATACTAATTTAACCTGGGAAATACAGGATGTCTGAAGATGGGCTCACTGAATTACTGTTTGTGCACTGAGCCAGGGAGTCAACTTTAGCCTTCCGCAGCTCTGGATGTGTTAACTTAGTTCATCTTTATACTGCTTTTTCTTTACATTTAATTTCTTGGTAAGAGAGACCAAGAGCATTCCCAAAAATAGTCATTTACTATGGCTCACCTGACTGCAGTAACTTAATTGCTTTTGCTTGTGTATCCATGGTTTTATTCCTTTGCAGACTGCTTGTGTGCAAAATGAAGTTTCAAATTCTGGGAATTTGAAAAAAAATAATTGAAATCTCTTAAAGGAAATATTTACAGAAGTACAAAGTCACAGCAGCATTTTACTGTTTGCTAGAGAACTTCAATGAAACAGTTTTGTAATTCTATTGATACAGCATAAAAAGCTAACAACTGTTAATTTTGGAAGCTGTTATGCATTACTTTTGCATGTAACATGACTATAACATACCAATTTATTTGGAAGGAAGTAACATAACTGCAGTTACTTTTAAAGCTCCTTTAGCATTGGCAATCTTAACAGTAGCATAGCACAGAAGTTAGGAGTTACATTCTCCCGAGAGCCACCCTAACTGCAGTGCCAATCTCTGATGTCCTGGCAGGTGCTGCTGGTAACAGTGAATGGGAACCCTGCTGACTATCATACCATCCACCCCGCACTGCCATTAGAAAACGGTCCAGCCAAAGCAGACATGTACTCAACACCACAGTACAAATGGGAGCCTTCAGATGACGTGTCAGGTAGTGAATTGCCTGGGAATTACCCTTAGTTTCATATTTTTCATATTCTATGTCCCCAGTTACTGCCTCTAGCATTTGGGGGCTTGGTTTCAGCTTGGTAAACTCTTTGGCTTGTTGAAGTTAACTAGTTGCTGGTACCTTACAATGACAGCCGATCATATGTCAATTTTGTATACTGGGCTCTAGGCATATACTGTACAAAATACTTTGCCTAACAACACAGTGACTATGGGGTTTGCATTGTTTTAGTACAGTACTCAGATGTAATTTTTGACCTAGAATCTAAAATTTCAGTTGAACACTCTCAGGTTTGATTTAGAATTCACAGGAACATACAGTAAAAGTCTGTCTATGCTATGGCACACAAAATACGATTTTATTGATTGTAGTGTACAGTTCTGCTTGCTGATTGCTGTAGAAGTAGCCATCAGAGTGATTGCAAGTGAAACCATTCCAGGAGACAGAGTGCACATGCTACCTTTAGACCAGCATGAATTGCAAATAAGAATTTCTTTTTCTACTTAGAAAAGGAAGAGGAGGAGGAGGAAGAGGAAGAAGTTACTCAGGAGGAAAAAGAAAATGTTAAATTACACGCCTTGGTCTCTGTGTTTCAGTTTATTATGAAACAAAGTTATATTTGTGCTCTGATAGCTATGATGGTAAGTACTGGCAACAACAACAAAAAATACTGTTAATTTTACAAATTTACATTGATGAGTTTTCAGTAATTGTTTTCATTAGGGTTAGTAATTATCAGTATGGTGTCTGCATCATTTTGGGTCTGGTTTAGGTTATTAATGAATAATTCCCAGGCTTATTATACATCTATAAATAAAGCAACACACAGAGTTCTGGGTAAGCCATCATATTTCCAGGACTGCAAGTCCCGGATTTTGTTGTTCGTTGAATGTCAGAAAACCACTGGGGCTGTTTTCTTTTGATTCCCAAGCTCTACATAAGCAGGTGTCATGGTTTAAGCCCAGCTGGTAACTCAGAACCATGCAGCTGTTCGCTCACTTCCCCCCTTCCTACTCCCCCACTCCCAGAGGGATGGGGAGGAGAATCGAAAGAATGTAACTCCCACAGGTTGAGATAAGAACAGCCCAGTAACTGAGGTATAACACAGATCACTGCTGTTACCACCAATAATAATAATGATAAGGGAAATAACAAGAGGAGAGAATATAACCGCTCACCACCCGCTGACTGATACCCAGCCTGACCCGAACAGTGATCTAGCCCTTCCAGGTAACTGCCCCCAGTTTATATACCAGGCATGACGTGCTGTGGTATGGAATACCTCTTTGGTTAGTTTGGGTCAGGTGTCCTGTCTCTGCTTCCTCCCGGCTTCCTCTCCTCTCTGGCAGAGCATGAGACTCAGAAAGTCCTTGGTCAGAGTAAACATTACTGAGCAGCAACTAAAAACATCGGTTTTATCAACGCTGTTCCCAGGCTGAAAGTCAAAAACACAGCACTGCCCATCTACTAAGAAGGAGAAAAATGACTGCTACTGCTGAACCCAGGGCAGCAAGCTTGTCATGCTTTTACTTCATTCAGAAATTTGCCGACAAAATTAAAGCATTTTGTCGCAATATAGTGAATCTTTAAAAATATAATTCCTACTTCAGCCTCATCTTACTGAGAAGAAACTATCTGTAAAGCTTAATTTCCTATATTGACACAGAAATGTCTCAAGAAAAACACAACTTCATGACACACAATATTTTGCTATTGTTTTACTTACCAACCTCATTTTTTTTCTTGTGTTGTTCCTTGCTTTTGAGCCAACTTCATGCAAATACCTTGCGCTGCACTGTAGCAAGTTTTCAGCATAATGTTCAGATCTCTCCTTATATTCCCAATGCAAGCTTTGGTTTAACTGTTTTGGAAAGGTTTCAACTGTGATGAAATTAACCATAAAGTTTCTTGGTCCAATTTTGCATTGGAAATGGTAAAAAAAAAAAAAAAAGCTTGGCTACTTCTTGTTTTCATAAAGTTTCAAACTTTATTTGCTGTTCCTTAACAGGAAAAGTTTCTCACTAAATAAGGCAGACTCCTTGTGCAGAATCTGGATCTGGCTTGATGAGTTCTGACACATTAGCAAAGTAGTTATTTTTGCATTGACACAATGCCTCTTTTTTCCTGTTTGTAAAGCTCACATGCTTCATATAATCTGCGTTTCCTTTTTAATTCATTTCTAGGGTCATATTTCTCAATATCAAAGGAGGAGATATATTTAAAGAGTTTTCTTGCAGTTTAATATTGAGATATTACTGTTTTCTTAGTGGAGAAATACCATCCCAATTTTATATGACCCAAATTAATTTATGAATTTATTTATGGTGTGATCTGATGCAAGATTCACTTACACCGTAACCAGAAACAGCTGAGTGTAAGTTATTTTCTTATATGGGGACAAAGAAGTAGCATATTAGTTCTTTTCACATACCCTTAAAAGATATCATTCACAAGGGAACTGAGCTAAACTGAAAATATTCTTAATGTTTCACACTTTTCCACTTAAACTGGAAAGGGATCTAAAATGTTTTATTGACAGTTATTCCACAATTATACCAGCATATATGTAACTGAGCTTAGTCATAAATCAGTAACACAGTGTTAATAAAAAACACTTAAAGCCCCAGTCTTTTTCCCCAAGTGTCGAATAGAGCAGTTTTCAGTAGCTGATTTCTGCACACTACAGGAAACATTCTATAGTTGTATTTCTGGTAATTTAGCATGATTAGAGTAGACTGAATGTCCTTCAGGTTCTGTGTGTGCAGTGTGTGCGTACCATAGCTTTCCAATTTAAATTGATTCCACAAAAGCTAGAAGTTAGCTAGGTTTTGTAAGCCTCTCAGAGTGCTTGAATGTAGCATCTGTTGATACGGTATGTTGATGTTGGTATGTTTTGATATTCTCAGTTTGAACTCTTTGTTGCTGTTTTGCAAGACCTTGTGTGCCCAAAAGTCGGTCTGTATTTTCTCTTTTAGTTTGGTGTACTGGGAAGCAGTGAGTTTGCTTATAAAACTTACTAAGGTGCAATTGATGCACAAAGCAGGGTTTGCTCTCAGCTGTGCACTTCTTAAGACTACTTTCTGCATGTTCTTCAAAGGCTTTATTGTAGCTGGCTAAGGAGCTCATTAAGATGTGTGAAAGTCTCATGCCAGTGAAAATGTGCATCAAGTAGAAAAGTTTGTAAATGGGAATATGCATCAGTGTTGTTCCTGAATGTATCTGTGAACATTTTTAATTCTCTTTCATCCTTCCATAAGGCATGGAGTATCACATACCACAGCTGGTTGACTTTTGTGTTACTAATCTGGTCTTGCACACTGTGGATGATTCGGGACCGAAGGAAATATGCCATGATCAGTTCCCCATTCATGGTTTTCTATGGCAATTTACTGCTAACGTTGCAGTACATATGGAGTATTGAGCTCAAGAATGATGAGCTTCCTCAAGTATCCGGTTTTTTAGAAAGAAAGGAACCTGGGGAGCTGGCATCAAAGGTAGGTGTTACAAATAGCTGAGATCTGTTTACAAAACCACAAAATATATTGTGATAAAAATTTGGAACTTCTGACATTCCTTTAAGAGTGAATCTTCAGTATTCAGTATAACCATATTCAGTCGCAGTTTTACAATAAAGAATAATTAATTTTAAAATACTGTTCAGAAAATTACTTCTTGCTTTTTAAGCTAACACCAGAGCAAATGTTTCAGGCATCTTCGTAGAATTTCATGTTATTCCTATAGAAAATCCTTAGTGGTTGGAAATTATTCACTTGTTTGATTTTATAAACTGGATACAAAACTAGATGTGATATGATTTATTAGATTAATACCCATGGGATGTCAGGTCTGTCTCTGACTGTGATGGCAAGTGGAATTGCAGTGTCATTTCTATTACCAGCACTACTCACGCCCTTATGATTTTATACAAGCAGTAATGCACATTTGTGATTGAGATTTAATTCTTTATCCTTACACCTGGAGCAGCATGAGTTGCAATCCATTTCAGGTCAGAAACAAGAGTCTATTGACCTTAGCGCGTGATATATTATTTTCTTTGATGTATTGAAAGCACTACAAAATGTATTTTGGTTAGCAAGTTTGCCTTTGGGGGTGGGAATGAGCATAAATAGGAAGTTGTTTCCTAGAGCACCCAAGAGGCAAGTCTCAGTGCATCTAGTTGGCACAGCTCTGCCTGCACTAAGTGAATCACTTCCCTTGTGACACCTAATTAACATTTAAGGTGATTCTGTAAGTCATTTTCCTTGTTGGCAGTGCCCTTTGGACAACCATGTCTGACTCTTTAATGCATTTGAAAATTAGTGAGTGCTGTATTACTTTTCTCTTAAAGGTAGGGCTAGTTTAGTAAGAGAGAGGTAAAGCTCAAGGGGTTCTGCAAGAGTTCACAGTATCACAGTATGCTAGAGATTGGAAGGGACCTCAAAAGATCATCTAGTCCAGTCCCCCTGCTGGAGCAGGAACACCTAGATAAGGTTACACAGGAACGTGTCCAGGTGGGTTTTGAATGTCTCCAGAGAAAGAGACTCCACAACCTCCCTGGGCAGCCTGTTTCAGTGTTCTGTCACCCTCACTGAGAAGAAGTTTCTTATCAAGTTTAAGTGGAACCTCTTGTGTTCCAGTTTGTACCCATTGCCCCTTGTCCTATCGTTGTTTGCCACTGAGAAGAGCCTGGCTCCATCCTCGTGGCACTCCCCCTTTATATATTTATATACACTAATAAGGTCACCCCTCAGTCTCCTCTTCTCCAAACTATAGAGACCCAGCTCCCTCAGTCTTTCCTCATAAGGGAGATGCTCCACTCCCTTAATCATCTTAGTTGCCCTGCGTTGGACTCTCTCCAGCAGGTCCCTGTCCTTCTTGAACTGAGGGGCCCAGAACTGGACACAATATTCCAGATGAGGTCTCACCAGGGCAGAGTAGAGGGGAAGGAGAACCTCTCTTGACCTACTAACCACCCCCCTTCTAATACACCCCAGGATGCCATTGGCCTTCTTGGCCACAAGGGCACAGTGTTGGCTCATGGTCATCCTGTCATCCACCAGGACCCCCAGGTCCCTCTCCCCTACACTGCTCTCTAACAGGTTGTTCCCCAACCTATACTGGAACCTGGGGTTGTTCCTGCCCAGATGCAGGACTCTACACTTTCCCTTGTTATATTTCATCAAGTTATTCCCTGCCCAACTCTCCAGCCTGTCCAGGTCTCTCTGGATGGCAGCACAGCCTTCTGGCGTGTCAGCCATTCCTCCCAGCTTAGTGTCATCAGCAAACTTGCTGATAGTACACTCAATTCCCTCATCTAAATCATTGATGAATATATTAAATAATACTGGTCCCAGTACTGACCCTTGAGGCACTCCACTACATACAGGCCTCCAACAATTCTACAGTTTCTCTCAATAACTTTGTAAATCTTTAAGGAGTTTTAGCTGTCTTAACACATCAGCCCCTTTGATTTTGTTTCTTGTTAGCTATATCATCGGACATCTAAAACTAGCTGGCGTCAAAAATGAAGCTGTTCTGTATTTATGATAATTTGGCTGCACCCATAAAACTAATAGAAGGTATCCAATGCTGGGTTTTAGTCTGAATACAATGCACTCTGTAAATTTTACAGACTCACAGGGTGGTTGTGGCTGAAAGATTTCTGGAGGTCATCTCGTCCACTCCCCAATTCAAGCAGGGCCATCTAGAGCTGATGGCCCAGGACAATGCCCAGATGGCTTTTGAATGTCCCCTGAAAGAGAGACTCCACAAGTCACAACTCCACCTTTGCATTTTCCTTGCCCATGCTTCATAAAGAACCTCTGTCTCTCTACTGTGGTTATGCAAGCCATCACACCCCATCTCTGTGATCCCAACAAGTCCATAGCCCTGCACAGAGGTCTCTAATTCCTTGTGTTTATTCCCCATGCTGCATGCATTAGTGTGCAGGCACTTCAGAGAGGCACCTGGCACACTGATTTCCCAGAAAGGATCTGGAAGGTTTCCCTGTAATAGTGCCTTTAAGGCATTTCCTTGCTTCTGTACAAATGCTTTAAGTGACCTTGCATAAGCTCTGTTTTGCTGATTATGTGTTTCCTTCTGTTCACATTGCCCCAGACACCCATCTCTTGTCAGCCCTGTCCATCACTCCTTCTCAAGGCTGCTATTAACTCTCCCTGTTATTCTTAGTTTAAAGTCCTTTTTATAATGGTTGAATTTAAATAAAATTTCAATACTGTATTCTTCAAAGAAACAAAAATAGAAAGAAACGTACAGTAATTCTTTATGCATAATATTCTGCATACTGTGTGCGTGTTTTCTGGTCTGAAAAGGAAACAATATGGGTACTGTGAAAGGTGACTAAAAGCATTTCTTTGATGTACATCACTTTGAGACTTTTCTTGGAGCCATCTCTGGCTCTGGAAATGCCAAACAGAACAAGGAGTAAATGCAGCAGGGATACAGAGCTCATCACTGCAAAACAAATCTGTGGTTTACAATATCAAAGGTTTGTGTTGCAAAAACCAGAGCTCCAGGAGGCATCTGGAGAAGCTGTGACAATTCACACAGGCTGACAGTCTTCTGCTGCAGCTCAGCAATAGCTGCAGTATCAGTGAAAACAACTGTCGCTCACCTCTCCTTTCCCCCATGAAATACTTGCATATTAGATGAAAAACAGGAGAGTTCTTTACATTGTACTACCGGCCTTGTCATTCTATTGTATGAAAAATACTTGGCTCTTACATGCTTCCTGTTTGAGATTTTATTCTTTTAAACAGTGAAATATGTCATCTTCTGAAGCACTGGAATCAGTAGAAACTTCGTAGAATGTAAGCATAAAATCAAGTGTGTGATGAATAGTCATCATGCTGTTTTCTGAATTTTGGCCAGCAGTGTTGCAACCTGTTGAGTTTAGCTTCTTGCAAAACACAGAAATGCACTCTTCATTGAAGAGATTTATTTATTTCTAAGGTATCCTGCTGTTGTTGAATTATTATCTCTTAAAGCTGTTCAAAGAATTAAGAGCCATTTTAGATCTTGTAACTGCTCCAAACGCAAGGTATATTCAATTTACTGGGTCTTCTGTAACTTAAAGATATCTAAAAAATGTTTTTTTTAATTTTAAAATTAATTGTGTTTAAACACCTGAAGCACCAAACCCCTTAAATCAAAATTCAGGCTGTATCACGCTCCAGTAATGACAGTAACCCTCACCTGCATGTTCTTCTTCTCTGAAAGAAGGGAAAACTGAACAAAAGTGGACAAATGGGAATTATTCCAATCAATGCATAATGAGAAGATATTTAAACTTATAAGACAGTAGTTTCAAACTGAATAGAATGGGGTAGAATAAAATCATATTGGTAAATACCTTTAAGAAAAGAAGCAAAGCAGTAAGTTATTCCTCAGTGGAAAAATGCAGATGAAATAAAGTTGGTTATAATGCAGGATGTTTCCTAAATTACTTAGGAATGTACTTAAATTACTTAACTTCCACAAAGGTGCTCTTTGATGCCATCATTGCCATTTTCTGATGGACAGAGAAAACAATGGCATGCAAAATTCATGAAAACATATTATTGTGTTAGTAGGATGTAAGATATACAATTAGTCTGTTTTGATTTTTGTTTGCAGATTCTTTTCACAATTACTTTCTGGCTACTGCTTAGGCAACACCTCACTGAACAGAAAGCACTTCAGCTTAAAGAAGCTACTTTATCTGAGGTCAAAGTTGGAAGTGAAGAAAATGAAGAAAAAGGTAAAGCTATATTCAGTTTAATCCTTCAGTCACGATAGAAGTTCCGGTTACTACATTCCTGTGGTGCTGAAAGCAGTTAGCAAAATATGTTTCATTAGCCAAGAAAGATACTGCAAATCTATTTGCAACTGTCTTTCAGGATATAAAAATAAAACACCTTTGAACTTCAGAAATTTAAATAAAATGAGAATTCTCTGTACTGGAAGGTAATTAAAATGACTCCTTTAGGAAATGTCACAGAACTTTCAAATAATCAGTTTACTCCTGTGTCCCTAACTCAAGCCAGCAGATTAATTGCCCTAGGAGTTTGACCACAGGAGAAAAGCTTATATATGAAAAGTCAGTTGCCAAATACTGGAAGTTGTACTGTACATAAACACTAGTACAAAGCCAGAAGTTAAACTACTGATTTCAGTTTGCCTTCATAAGGCAAAATCAGCTTGTCTGCTGTGGCTCAGGTGCATCAGATGAAGCTGGATAAGTGGTAGTTTCTTTGGAAAACAGCAGTGTTAGTACAGCATGTATATTTTTCAAGCTTGTTTGGTTTTATGTTAATGTTTTCTCCTGCTAGTGGTTTTTGGAGGTAACCACAATATTCTCTAAAGGATGAAACTCAAGATGAGAGGTTCAAACTCAGAATGAGAGTTTAAACTTCAAACTCAAGATGAGAGATTTCTGGTGGTCCTGGTGGCTTCTTTGTTTTCTGGTTTAAAAGGTTTCTTGCCTGGGAATATAGGTATTGCTGTGGAAAGTGTTTTGACTGCTATCCATTATGCAACCCTTAGGCTTAATTTTCCACTAACAGCTGCCTGCATTTCAGACAAAGTGAAGACTGATGTCTGGTAAGGACATACACCTATGCACTGTATGGCTCCAGAAGCAGGTTGAAGCTCATACAAAGTTAAAACTCCTTCCTTTGCTCTGAAGGCATGTATGATTCAGCAGCACAGTCTCTTGTGAATATTGTGTTTAAAATTTCTGTGTTGTGTGCAGAGATTTTACTTCCCATCCATTTCAATTCTCCATTTCAATTCTCTAAAAGTCCCCAGAACAAACAGAGACCAAATGTGACTCTGTATTTGCAGAAGAGGAACCGCAAGAGGGAGAAGTGGCAGAAGAACAGGAGGAGGAAAAGGAAGAGGAGGAGGAGGAGGAAGAGGATGATGAGGATGAACAGGATATTATGAAAGTCCTGGGGAAGCTCGTTATGGCTATGTTCATCAAGTACTGGATTTATGTCTGTGGGGGCATGTTCTTCTTTGTCAGCTTTGAGGGTAGAATTGTCATGTACAAAATCATCTATATGGTACTGTTCCTCTTCTGTGTAGCCCTTTATCAGGTAAGTGAGAGCTGTATTAACTAAATTTTGTCTGTAAATACAGTGGGCCGTAATTTTAACTTGGTAATAAAGTAGGTCCAAACAGAATGCATAAACAGTGTATTCTTTAATAAGATACAACTTAATAAGATCATTTTAAGGGGTTAAGATTAATTTTCCTTTGGCTTTTGATTAGAGTGACAAAGTGCATATAAATAAGATGCATACATAGATCCCTGCTCTAGGATGCCACCCTACATCACCATGAGATTTGGTCCTACATAGCCACCAGTTTTTGTGACAGCTGGTCCACACAGCTTCCACATCCCAGTGAGAAGAGTCCCTCTCCTAATGGTGATGAAACTGAATGACCAAAGCTGTCCCTGGCTTTTATGTCCGTGGCCATGTCTCAATAACCTTTTTACACTAAAATCTGTACTTGAGTGCATGTGCATCGGAAGTAAAAACTGTATCTCAAAGAACTGTGACTGCCTTAGACTAAATGCTCTTCAGGCCAGCTAGAAAAAATAGTATTCTTCTTGGTTTCCAGTGTTGTTAGTATTTTTGTCGCTGTCTTTGCCTTCAGCTTGTTTCAGCATCTTTAGTGTATGATTTTCAGGTGCACTATGAATGGTGGAGAAAGATTTTAAAGTACTTTTGGATGTCAGTTGTTGTTTACACAATGCTGGTGCTTATCTTCATCTATACATACCAGTTTGAGTCATTCCCTGGGTTGTGGAAGAACATGACAGGTCTGGATGAAAACAAGTAAGTGGTTTTAACTAATTTCATTTTTTTTTCTTTGGACTTTTGAGTTCAGTGTGCTGGAATGGTCTGAGAGTATTCTTCCTTCTTCTATGGGAAAACCACCATGAGACCATCCTCAGACATAGTTGACTTTAAGCGCTCAGCTCTGAAGCCATAGATTTATCGGTGTAACATTAGAGATGAGTAAAGGCACAAGATGGGGCTCAAAGAATCATGTTTACTTACATCTGCTGCCAAAGCCTTTGCATTGCTTCTGTTCCCAATACAGTGCCCATGCTTCTCTTTGGCTCTTTGACCATACAAACACAACTGGGGAGAAATTAAGGGTAGATTTGCAGGATTTCTGAGCTGGTGAAGGTGGAGCTGCCTCCTGCTGATGAGGAGGGGCTGAGTTTCTTCAGCCTCATGGTGAGTTGGGAATTTCTCAACAGGAGCTTACGTGACAAAAATACATGCAATGTGATGGATCTCCAGTGCAGGACTTTCATTCAGAGGCAACTCATCTGGTTCAAGAGATCTATGGCAGCCCCTTATTTCCTATTTGTAATGTTGTCTTATGGCAAGAAAAAGATTTTTGTGTAAAAAAGTAACTTAGTGTCTTTTCTTTTTTTTTTTTTTCTCCAGACTAGCAGACCTTGGCTTAAAACAGTTTTCTGTGGCTGAGCTATTCACACGCATCTTTATCCCCACCTCCTTCCTACTGGCGTGTATTTTACACCTTCACTATTTCCATGACCGGTTTCTCCAGCTCACTGATTTAAAAGCTGTGACCAGCAAACAAGACAACACTATTTACAGGTAAAGAAACAAAGTAAATGGAACTGTTGGTTGTCTGTATGAAAATGCTGTTTCTCACTGGCTTGAAATGCTCACTTTTCATTAGATATATTTTGCCTTTGCTATGACTACCTGGCTTAAAAAGAAGGTGCTCAGTATCCAGCACCCCGCTAAACAAACAACAACCAAAGTACCTGTCTTCCTCCACTTTCCCCTACACGCTGAAGTTTTTCATTTTGGCGTACATTTTCAAAGGTACTAACAGTATTTATTGTATTTATCTCATTGGCTTTGACCTTAAATGGGACTTAGATGCTGAATTGTTGTGTGTGCCTTTTTGTTACTCCTGTCAATAATAGAGAATATGGCTTTTAATTTGGCTCACTTCTGTTTTTCAATGTCTATTTTGCGTGCCAAGTCAAGACTGGGAGATCTCTGGCAAATACCACATTTGCATTGCACGATCAGGTGTTTTTGTAAAGTTGAACTTCAGGAATGCAAAAATCCCAAACCTGGGGTCACTCTTTAAAGTGCAGACCATTGGCTTTCCTAGCTCTTTAAGATATTCAGCAATCTCATCTGGAAGTTCATTAGGATTTTTTCATTATCTGAGACCTCACTTTTCCTGCGTTTAACTCTTCCATATTCTCCTGCATGAAAACAAATCTGACCTAGGATCCTGCTCCATGAGTCTAAAGCAGAGAAATGATTTCATAGTAAATTGTGTCATATTAGGCAATTTACTCTTAATTCTTTGAAGAAACCAATCAATTTAGACACTTTTTAGGGTGTTTACCTATAATTCAGCTGGGCTTCTGTGAACGGGGACTAGCAGTATAACATCATGCTCACCACAGCATGTGATGGAATAATGCCAGTTTATCTTACGGGAGAATTCTGCTCTAGGACTTGCTAGATTTACAAAAGCTTTTTAGATACTTCTTATGCATTCAATTTAATATGAAGCTACTTTACAGGGTATGGTACTTTTGTGTTTTCTGTCATCAGTGCAAGAGAACAAGCTCTACTTTTATAGAATGCTTCCAGTTTCTGTATTTAAATATTTGTTAAAACCAGAATGAAATAAACTTGACAAGTTTTCCTGACAAAAATCCATTATATGGTTTTGTTGGGTTTTTTTTAACTTACCTTTTTAAATGGTTGGTTGGATAATACCATTTCCTTCTGCTTTTCTTGAATTGCTCAATGTGATGGTAGAGTCAAGGGACCGCTGAAGTGGCCTGTTAGCACAGTACTTGTGCAGCAGGTATACATTAACATCTCTGACCAGCGCAGCCATGTCCTGAAATCAGAAGATAGATAGGTGTCTGAGCTGAAATGGGGATTGTTCCTAGGCTGAGGCATTTGGCGGCATGCATTACGGTGTGCAATAACTACATAAGCTCTTTTGTAGCCCCAACACTTTGCATTTATGCGAAGTAAAATAGAAACAGCTTCCTCCTCCCACCTAATAGGCACAAAGGGGGAAAAAACCAGCAAAACAACAAATGAGGCACTTGCAGGATTTAGGTGGGTTTATGGTACACTATACTCTGTGAAACCACTACTGGCACATCTTTCTATTATACATGAAAGATATCAAAATAATATACAATTCTTAACACTGCCTGAGGAGTGAAACTACAGCTTATTTCTTTCCTTGATGCAAAAAGTCAGTGCCAAGCATCAGCCAACTCTATAGTTCAAAGTTTCAAGATGAGAGCTCATCTGGCATTTGTACTGATGATCCATAAAGCTGGATAGGAACTATCACAACAACCAGCTCCAGCTTAACAGTAACGCTAGTGATAAAAATAAGTTGCAGGGGCAATTAAAATACAGATTAAAGACTCATATGTGTATGGGCCGTTTTCTTACAAAACAACTAAATCTCATTTTTCCCTTTTACTTTGAAAACACTAGAATTCACTCAACAGCTAGTTTACCTTTCAAAACTGCTTATATGCTCTTTCTTTTGCAATAAACAAAAAACTTAAAGAAACTGAACCTTTGTTTTGAGTAAGCAGACAGAACTCGATCCTTCTAATAGCAAACTTGTTCAAATAACCACAGCAGATGAAAGCTGGTCATGAAAGTAATAGGGAAAAGAGCTCCAGTTCCTCCATCTGTCCCTGAACTGCCATGTGTGGTTATAGTATGTTTGTGTCTAACTGAAGAATACTGTTAAAATTGCTGAGACTGTTTTGTATTAAGATGCTGCTTCACATGAGCAAAGGTTGTAGAGTGAGTTCAAGAGTAAAGCTCTTCCAGCTGCAAATAAAAGGAGAGAAAATGACACATTGGAATTGGCAGGCCGAGGCACTTCTCACTATTTATAAAGGTGACAAAGCTGAGTGTCTCAATTTTGCATATACAAAAATGCTCTGATTAGGACTTTCCAAGCCCATTTTCTTGCTGATGAATTGTGGTACAACAGAGATAAAGGCTGTGAGATAATTTAATATGATGCTCCCTCATAATTACTTTTAAATAAAAAAGAAGCAAAATACCTATTATAGATGTATCTATTACAGAGACACATATTCATATCCTTACATATTGTAAGGCTTACTTGCTATAAAGCAATAGAGGCTGTTCTCATATTTTGAGGACCATGTAAAGTACCTGTGGTTCTAACTGAAGTTGCATCTAAATGTCTAAGGAAGTACTGCATTTATAGGCTTCCTAGACTTTTCACTGTATGGTGTGTGTTAAGCTTTCAGATTGTGCTTTGTTATAACAACGTGTCTCTCTTGGTAGACAGGAAAGTGCATTCATTCCTATTTAACTGTTTCCTTTTCTCTCTCTCTAATTCATTTCTCATTTTCATTTCACGCATTCTTGTGCTTTCATCTCCCACCTCATAGCCATGCCAAAGTCAATGGCCGTGTTTATCTAATAATTAATAGGTGGGTACTTCAGTTCTTCCTTTCCTTTAAAACAGATGTACCTTAACTTTGTTGTTACTTCTTAATTGCCTTAAAGTATGTTCTTGCTGCACAGTTCTGTGAAGTAAGCAGGGAGATAATGTTCAGGTACTGTAATCTCCTGTAGCTGCTAAAGCAGTTAATACATCTCTCCTCTATATTTATATGTTGTAAGTTCATTTCCCAGCTGGGAATTTTTCTCTAAAATTTTGCCCATGCCTCAATAGAGGAATAATTGGTGCTATTTGTAATTGGTTGCATACAATAGACTTGGTTGAGGAGGCTCGTTTATCTACCCTTTGTGTGTGCATGGAAAGATGCATGCCTGCATGTGCACACATACACACAGGCACGCAGATACACTCAGACACACGTTGGTGTCTTCTTCACAAGCATCTAAGAAAGTGAATTTGAGGGCCAGATCAATTACGGTATGTATTATGAGTTTTTACAGACTGAGATTTCTCTGTTCAGAGACAGAAATGGAACATGCAGGACACTGAAACTACTGCACGCAAAGGCTGTTAATTCATGGGCTGAGTTGAGTGCTGCAGGATCCAAACTAGAAAAGCCCATGTTCCCACCCTGGTCATCCCTTTATACATGTTATCTTGAAAACAGTTCCAAAAAGTAGATTTATTTCATAATATTTGACTGAAGCACATGTAGGCTTTGTTTAATCAGCTTTGAGAACAGAAGGACTTCTAAGTTTGTTGTGGCTAATGAATATAAACAGAAAAACAAAAAAAATCCCTTGTTTAGATATTTGTGACTACCTGCTCTAATAAGAAGTTAATTTATGTGTCATGTTCCCACTCCTTCAAATGTCATCACATAGTTTAGGCCAGGGTTCTTAGAAGCTCACCAGAGCTCAAAATCTGGTCTGTATGAAGCCCATGTGTCAGGAAGCAATGAGGACAGGCACCTTGAAGAGGACCAGCAATCTGGGAGCTGAGGGGCACGACCATGAAGAAAGGCTGGACTCTTACCCACTGGAAGTCAGGCTCAGGAACCAGCAACTGAGGATGAGGATTAGATCTGGAGATGGTAACAAGGGTCAGCCACAACTTGGTGAGCTCTCAGCAAGTCCATAGTGGTAAGCCAGATCAACAGTGAAGGTGGGGAGTCAGTCTGAAGGTCAGGCTTAGGGTAAGTGAAGCATGGGAGGAAGCACAGGCATGGCTGCAATGCAGCTGCAATGTAGCAGTGACAGCCTTAGCATGAAAGCAGCTCCCAAAGAAAGGAGAGAAATCCCTTGCACCGAGGCTTCCTGGTCTGTCCATATACCCCAACATGTACCAAACAGCTGGCCTTGGATGCAAGCAGCAAAACACTCTGCAAGGGCAGGGAAAGCATTTAGGGTCCTTCCCATAGAAGTATGGTGCTGTGTGCTTAGTTTTGAATCTTGCATACCAAATATTCAGGGTCACTAATGTTCTGCAGAGCAGAAAGCTTTCTTTTATTAAGGCTGTGCACGAGAGATATGTAATAAATGGTTTTGAGCCATTTTCAAGCAATTAATGAAGTGGCAAAAAAAGTATCAAAGGACAAAGATACTTCAAAATGCATCCAGTAAGTTGTTATTAATTAATATTCTGCTCTAGCAAATTATAAGTAGATGAAATTATTAGGAGTCCAGCAAGAACCTATGGCACGTGCCTGTTTTTATTGGCTCTGAAATTGCTTTGATGTCTAAAACTAGATCTACTAGTATACTTCTTATTATTGATACCCTATTTAATGAATTTGTGGGGAAGAAATGTTCTCAGTTAAAAGCATTAGTGGCTGTACCTGCAAGGCTTGTTGTCTACATTATTATTTAGTTATTTCACTTCCTAAGTACCAGACACAATACCTTTGTGCTATTTCGAATGATTTCCCACCAGTATGTGATGTCCAACCTGAAGTTACATCAGATTAGCTGTGAAGCCTGTATGAGTAACTTATCTTAGATATTCTAAACTAATGTAGTTTTAATATCCTAATATGTCAGTGTTGGAAGAAAAACAACCCTAACAATAAATGAGAAAGCTTGGGAAGAAAGATTCCAAGTAGGCTAACTATCTGAATAGTGGGCAGGGCTTTTCATCTAGCTTTGGATCTCCTGAGCACACAGTCCCATGCTCAAGCCTACTGATGCTTATAGAACTAAGAGCCAACATACTGAAAACTAAGTGCGTACTGAAGCTTTAGCAGGTATATATTGCATGTACCCGTCTGTATAACCGAGTCACCTTCTGGATCCTGGATACAAATTGCAGCTAGATGAGTAAGAGGAAGATGAGTCCTCTCATATAAAAATCTGTGGGGTTACTGTGTTTCTGTCCAGTTTACACTGAGGTAAGTCCTTAAGTCCTTGATTTACACCAGTGTGAATGTAGATTTTTCCATTATAAAAGTCAGTTGGGAAGATACCTCATTAAAATCAATGCAATTGCACATGTGCAAAACCTGTTTGATTATATGGATACTTTCACTTCATGGGGCACTGCCTTTTAAATGGGCTCTAATGATTTGTATTAGCCAGGAATCTCTGTATCATTTAAACTAAACTGAAAATTCATTTGCTCTTCTTTATTCACAACCTTCCTGTTAGTACTTTATCAGAGTTTTAGGCAGATATGCAAAGTTAGTTTTAGGGAATATTATTGTTTAGTCATTTTACAGAGATTTTAATACCTTTTTTTTGTATATATGCCAGCTTAAATATGAAAATAAAGTATATCAGACAAAAAGCCATATTTTCAGTAGCCAAAGCTACTCAACGTATTGTTCGGTATAAGATATTTACAGATTATTGGGCACTCAGGTTCTTTGGTTAATCCGTGATGAAGGATTTTATTGATCATTGGCATGACTTTATTTTTTCAGTAAGATCTTTTGGTCCTTTTGATTTTGTTAAACTCTTAAACCACCTTTTCTGCTTTTTGGGTAATTCTACTTCAGGATAATTTAGTCAAATTTCTGTAGGTTTTCCCTCATTTAAGCCACCAAATTTTCCATCTTGAAGACATTACAATTCCCAAATACTTGAAAAATAATTCTGCTTGCTTTGTCATTAACCATTTAACCTGTGCACTATAATTTTTTAATTATCAGATGGATAAATCTAAGATTTTAGTTCCTTGAACTGTAAAATCCTACTTAAAATTGGCAGAATTTCATGTCTAAATGGTAATAGGCCAGAATTTCAGATCATGAAAAATAAATCCTGGAGATGGTACTGTAGCATATTAAACTTATTTGCATTAGTCCAGGAGCAGTGTAACAGGTGTTTGAAAGTATGCTGAGTGTGGTCATTTCAACAGCATAAATAAACATTTAGTGACCTGATCATACAGATACACACTTGCCAAAGGGAGACTTTATTGCAAGAAGTTGTACTCAAAGGGACTGTTTATGGCAGTAAGTGCTATGCTCAGCAAAGCACATAGGATCGGGAAATTAGGAAGAGTTTTCTGCAAATACAGGAGAGTCCCAACAGCACACTTGGGGAAGAAAAAAGAAAATATCCGAAGCCATAAAAAAATGTTTCTTTTTTTCAGTAAAGATTTGTACTGAGTAAATCTCAGCAAATTTGGAACCATGGCAGTGGAAAAACATCCTTTCTGAGTTGAATCACTTGTGTCCCAGTTTTGGTTGTCTGAAAATTACTAATAGATTTAATAAGAGAGAGTTAGAAATATAAGAAAAATTCACAGTGAGATGTAGAAAAGAGAGAGAGAATGAATAGCTTGGTCAAAGACAGACATGATAAAATATATTGAAGCCACAACCTTGGAATTTTTGCTTTTTTTTTTTGTTTCCAAACCTATAGCTGGAAGAAAATTTGCAGATTCCTTGGCTTCCCAGCTGCATCTTCCAATTGGAAGAAGGTGGAAATGCATTTACAGTAATCAGTCAGATACTTGTGATGATTCAGCTGCATTACTGACAGCATGGTACACTGACCATGTTTAGCACTGGTGTAAATAGGTGGCCCCCTTTCCATCTGTGCTGCAATTCCTTTTTTATTCAAAGAAGCGCCCTGTGAATGTCATGATGGCATGCTCTTGGCATCAGAAAGCTTCTGCAGATGGAGCAGTAGAATGCTTTGTGACTTGTGATGTAGCATGACATATTTGTCAGTGACCTTCTTCTGTAACCCCTCTGTTCTCATCTCCCTTTTCTTTCTGTTCCAATTACCTTGAGCAGCCTCAAGAAAAAAATACCAAACCACCAAAATGAGTAAGTCCCCTATGAAGTCATGAAATGTTTCCTCTTAAGCAATGTCATTTCATGCTTCTACATCTTAAACTCTGACTATTTTCTCCTGGGGGGAAAATGTCAAGTTTAAGTGTCAATACCACTCATTACTAACCGTTAGTATCTGAGTGAGAAGTAGTTACTAATACATTTCAACTCAATTTGCAGTGTGTGTTTGGAGAAAGTACCAGAATCATTAACTTTTCCACTTTTAAGGCATTTTCCATGAATGGTTATTTTTTTTCTAATTATATATCTTGAAAAAGAAAAAGACTACAACGCCATTACTGCTCAGTTTGCTGACACGCTACTATTTGCCAACAGACTGGTGCACCAAGATGGAAGCCTGCCTGACATAACTATGATGAATTTAACAGCCAGCAGAGAAAAGGAAGAGGATAAAATGCTGGAAGAGGCCGGTGAGAAAAGAATGGAAGAGTCAGAAGGGGAGGGGGGGAAAGGGAGGGTCGATAAAGAAAAAGAAGAAAAAGAAGATGAGGACAAGGAAGATGATGATGATGAAGATAACGAATCAGAAGAAGAAGAAACTACGGGTAAGCTCTGCAGATTGCAAACTTTGCCTTCCTCTGCCTTAGTGGTTATATTTGGTCATCCCTGCTCACCTTACATTTTCCTGCTAATTTTGAATAAAGTCTTTTCCAAAAGAGACTGAACTAAGCATATGGCTACCTGTAAATTATTTAACAGGCTATAGTCTCTTCTAGGGAAAAATACTTTTCCTGTAGGATGCTGAGAGGATAAAAACAAAAGAAACCCCTCACCTTTTTCTAGGTGGTCTGGGTTGGATTAATAGGAGGTTACCCCAAATCCTAAGAACTCCTTTAGAGTGAAATCTCTTTATAATAAAAATACACATACATATTTAATCTCTGATACTGCATGCTTTCAAGGCACTCCACTCCAGAAGTCTCAATGGCTTTGCTTCATTATTCATGTGCACATTAGTGCCATATTTTTCACTTCTGAATATGGAATGTGAAATTGATGCCAGATGAACATAAAAATGCTTAAGTGCAGACATGGATAAGGCTGATGTTGTAATCCTTGATATTGCTAGGATGAGCTCCTAACATGAATTATTTCCCTGAATCAGTTTGAAATATGAGCCACGAGGAAGAGCATTTAACGCCCAAGGAAGGTGTACTGTTTGGAAATGGCATTACCATGGATTTAGTTACTCTAATATGCCAGTATTTATAGGAATGTGACATATAAATAGGGACAGGGTCTTTGTCAAGCAAAATGGCTTAGCTGCCCCAAGGAAGCTGAACTGAAACTATTTACCTTTCTTGTCTGGGAGATCTTTCCTTACAGAGGTGTTCATGGAAGCATTTCTTGTCCAGCTCTCATGCAGTCTTATGATGGGTGATGAGTTTGTTGCACTCTAGCCATCTTTACATTGTGGAAGGGCCTGGGGACAGAGGAGACAGAGGCCAGTGGTGGAGGTTACCCTGTGCAGTGACTCACGCAAGCAGGGAAGTGGGGAGCTACAGCCTTCTCCCTGGGGCCGTTTTTGCACTGCAGTGAGTGGGGCTTGGCAGTAACATGAGGTGCACCAGCATGTGTGATACATCTTTAAGCTGTACATGTATTTATTTCTAGCAAAGATTTATATTATTTTTATATAGCCATGTGGCTGGAGTTTTGACCTTAAGTATGTTCACATGTGCAGACTTTATTACACAGTGATATACAACTTTTCAATAGATGCAGTCAGACCTGTTTTTTTATCCCATGTGCAGGTAGTGCCTAGACATGCTAGACAGTTTCCTACAGTACCTTTTCTGCCTGCTTCACTTAACTGGCACTGTCTGATTATACCCTGCATGGTGGCAACACTGTAAATGAAAAGATATGCAGTAAAAGAATGAGTGAGAGCATCTAGTTCTATAAATAAAGACTTTACTTAAATACAGTCATTGTGCCTATAAAAGCACACATGCAGGATTAGAGTTCTATAGCTTAATTCATTTGGCTGATTTAATTATGTACTCATTTACAACAATCGGCATTTTTATTAGGATTTTGTAAGTTGTAGTCGGAGAAAAGGGCAGAAGAAAAAAAGGGATTTGGTTGTCAGGTATTCCAAAAGTTTGCTTTTTCATATGTGTGCATGTGTTCTTCACACAAATATGCAACAGAATGACCACCTTGGTTTGCTTTATATATAAAATCACCAGATACTTTGAAATAATTATACTCAGAAGCTGGTAGCTCCTTTGCATTTTTACCAGCTTAGACAGTGATGTGTATCGGTGTCACTTGCAAATGTTTCCATCTCTGATGTTAACTGCACAAACGTTCTCACAGCATGCAAAATCCTTCCTAATCTCCTAGGTGCTTCTGAAACCCTTAATACAGTGTGAAGACTCTATAATAATATATACCAGCCTGGTGAAACAGTTTTATAGGAAGCCCACAAGCATTTAGAGAGCACTGTTCAGCATATGTATTGACATATGTCCTTATATGTAATAGATGTTGCCATGTACTTCCTCACTGGGGTATTATTTAGGAGGATGGATTTTTTAGTGAAATACTGTCTGCAAAGGGATTCTTTCACCCGACTTCAGGATCAAAACGTGACAAGTTTTGCCTTGTCTGTTTTAGATGTCTGTCCTGGGATGGCACAAATCACACTCTAGGAGGGTGTGCTGTTTACAAGGCAGTTTAGACAACTGACCTGTGAAGACAGCTATAGTATAACTGTCTAAACACATGTGACCAGAATCCTACTGCGGAGTCTCCCACATTGGAGATATTCAAGGCCCGCCTGGACAAGTTCCTGTGTGATGTACTCTAGGTTACCCTGCTCTTGCAGGGGGGTTGGACCAGATGATCTCTCGAGGTCCCTTCCAACCCTTGGGATTCTGTGGATTCTGTGGATCTCTTCTAGGTTGCCTAAAAAGCTTTCTGAATAGTAGAAGTCTGTGCTTTCTGAAAGCAGACTGAGTCCACAGCTTCCAAATATCAAACAAAATCCTATTCTTTCTGAGCTGGATAAGGGCCAGGGCTGAAGTGTCTCAGATCTAGTCCTTGGGTGGCAAACCTAAGCTTAAGTTCAGAGATATTGCAGGAAAATGGAGCCCAAGAAGATGGTATCTGCTAGAGGGGAATAAAAACAATATTGACTCTTGAAGTGGGAAATCCTTTCAGTGAACGTGGGTGAGAAGGAAGAGCACCACGATGAGCACCACTGAGCCGTATTTCTTGTCTTATTCTAAAAACCTAGAAGAGAAGTAGCAGAACGTTCATTGTTGTCTAGTGGAGCATTCCTTTTTACAGAAACCTTCTGTTTTTCTCCTCCCAATGGTTCTGCTTGAACGTCTCTGCAGACTTAAGGAACAAGTGGCATCTGGTGATTGATCGCCTTACAGTGCTGTTTTTGAAATTCCTGGAGTATTTTCATAAGATGCAAGTCTTTGTGTGGTGGCTGTTGGAGCTGCACATCATCAAAATAGTTTCCTCTTACATCATCTGGGTCACAGTGAAAGAGGCAAGTAAACACTCCCTGCACAAATCTTACCCATGAAGGAGGCTTGTCAGCATCTGCATGCAGTGGCATACCCAAGTGTGTAGGGACATACTTCCTCATGTCAGGCCTCACTAAAATTGTTTGAACCAGCTGAGCTTGTCAGTTGCTGAAGAGCTGCCTTGATATCTTCTTCCACAGTGATGCTCTGTCTGCCTAGATATTCTCATGCTTCCCCTTTTCTGTATGTATTAAGGTTTTATATGTCTAATTCTTTAGATTCAAGAGACATAATCCCTCCCCTACTCAAGATTCTGCGGGCATCATCCAGGGATGGAGGGTGTAGAAAAGGTTTAAGAAGGAGCATCTTGGAGATTTACTTAAAAAGCCTGGTGCTGAAGAAACAGGAACATGGAAATAGGTCTAAAGAAAAAGGGAGCAACACCTTTAGCTGTGCATTTGGTGTTGGCAGTATGAGTTCTCTACCTGACATAGCCATTCCTTGAACAGAGTAGCAGGACAAAATTCACTGGAAAACACCAAAATATCAAAATAATATATTTTCAAATACCAAAAATACAGAAAATAAAGTGATAAATAAAAAATATAAAAAACAAGCAAGCAAAATGCCTCATATCTTTGGGGGAAAAAGCTCAAGAGGATGGAGCTGGGCTCCACAGACACATGGATCTGTATCATACGTACTAAAGCAGCAGAAATAGCATATGGTCCTTCATATTTCATGCATTTTTGTAGGTTGGGTATGCAGTTTTGGTGGTCTAATAGTATTAATATTATGCAGGAGATAAAGTTTTTCCAAAACTGAACGTTAAGCTTTTCCTCCTTCACTTACCACTTTGTGTCTGTGTTATTGTGAATATTATTGTAATTTTTTGTTCCTTTTTTTTTCTCACAGTTTCTGTATGTCCCCCTTTTTATTTATTTTTTTATTATTATTTTTTATTACTATGGAAAATGTCAGACTTTCTTAATTCTCTTGTTACTCCATGTAATTTCCGTACTGTTTTTGTGCTTTCAGGTGTCTCTGTTTAACTTTGTGTTTTTAATTGCCTGGGCTCTTGCTTTGCCATATGCTCAGTTTCGCCCATTGGCATCAAGTATCTGCACTGTTTGGACATGTGTGATTATTGTCTGCAAAATGTTGTACCAGCTCACATCTATTGATCCCAGCACTTTTTCCAGTAACTGTACATTGGTGAGTACAAGTGCATATTAAAAAGGTTTGGTTTGCTGCCTTCTTCAGTGAAGAAGAGCAAAAGGAGCATATCAAGTACTGAAAACTACAGTTCACCTGATGCATTATTGTTGATTATCATTCCCTCCCCAAGCAGCCTTAAATTCATATTTTTATAAACTGTTGCATTTTCTTTTTAGCCAGGAGAGAATGAAACTAAGGTCAATTTAGAAGAACTCAAAACCTCAGTCCTTTACAGTGGGCCAGTTGATCCTGCAGAGTGGGTTGGATTGAGGAAGTCTTATCCCCTACTTGTGTATTTACGGGTAACTTCTTTAACTATCTGTATTGAGATTTTTTAATTATTACTATTTATGATGAAATTAGCAATGTCTTTGAAATAAATCGTCTGACACACACGCACACACACAAAATGTTATGCAAGCCATTGTTAATAGAGAAATACAGAGGGGAAGAGACAGTAGAAAGCTGTATCTGTTACACAGGACATTTCCAGGAGGGATTCAGTACCAATTAAGATAATCTGCATGTAGAAATACAGCTTTCTGACTCTGCCATCTGTTAAAAGCACTCTAAGAAATGTGATGTTTAAGAACTCTAAGTAATTAAGAAGTACGTTGCTTTCAGGTATCAAAGGACTGATGGGTCTGATTGGAGTAATTGACTTGAATGACAGTACATGCTGCAAGCAGTTAATTTTTTTAAGTGCTTATTCCTTAGCCACAGCTTAGGAAATATAATGAGTTAAGGGAATAGTTCATTCAGACACTAATAAATGGATGTCTTTTGTTTTTCTTCTTGGTTTTGGTTGATGCCTGTGAGCAATATTTTATTATTCCTGACTTGATTAAAAAACCCTACTTACAATAAAAATAACCAACTCCCAGGGCAAACCTTGCTTTTCTCTTCTTAATTTAAAGAATCTCCAAAATTTTGTATACACAGTTTAAGCTTGTCAGAAATTGGTTGACTCAACAACAGCAAGTTTTGGTCTAACAAGATTTATTCCTCCTTTCTTTCCTGAGAGCTTACATCTGTGTTCTTTGTTTGTGTAGGGAAGGCCTACCAAGCTCTAGTGGTCAACATATCAGGTCCTGGTAGTGCCTTTGTGTCTCACTCCCTTAACCATGAACCTCCCACAGTTAAGAATGTATGTGGGGAAGAGCTATTACTGACTCAAGAGTTCTGCATGAAGCTTGAAGTTGCCTAGTATTGTCTGGCTTGCTGCTAGGAGCTTTACAGCTATAAATAGATAATACTTTGGGATTAGAAATTATTCTAGAAGGATTTTCACTGAGTTACAAAATTAAATGTCTCTACGAGAAGTGAGTTCAGTGCTGGACCTGAAGGTCCCAGGCTTCAAGTCTTCAAGACATTGAAGACTGGCAGATAGACTGTTCATTTAAATGGGTGTCCAGGATATATTTACATTACCCAGCATCCTTGCAGTTTAAGGAGGTTGGTACTTGCCACCTGAATGCCTGCAGCTGACTTTTTTGTAAGCTTGTATCCTCTATCTCCTGCAAAGCAAAGCATGGTATCTGGCATACCATGCTTTTCCATAGCATGGTATGTAAGACACCATGAGACATGAGAGGGCGCATGGATGGGTAAATGCATTTTCCATCACATTGCTTTCCACAACTAGTGTTCATAATAGCATTTTTAATGAATGTCTTTAAATATATCTTCTGAATGTCAGTATGTTTCATCAAAATCCAAGGAGTGGTAGGAACCTTTCTTTGTTTCAATTATAGTAGCCGGGAATAGGTGTCTGTGCATCCTGGTGTGCAGAAGTACTCAGTGGTAGCATCCATTTGAGTATTCTTGGGTTTAGGCTTAGCAGAAAACTGCATAGCTTCTTGTGGGATTGATCTTTATTTAATATTCTTCTGATTGGTCTCTTGTAGAATAACTTACTGATGCTGGCTATTCTGGCTTTTGAAGTTACAATCTACCGTCATCAAGAGTACTACAGATGTCGAAATAACCTTACCACACCTGTAACTAAAACCATTTTCCATGATATTACAAGAGCACATCTGGATGATGGACTGGTAAACTGTGTCAAGTATTTCATAAACTATTTCTTCTACAAGTTTGGTTTGGAGGTAAATCACTTTCTTTACATTATCATTACAAACATTTTGGTAGTGTTATTTTTTAATACTAGCTTGAACAGCTTTTGACAGCTGAATGCTTCTTAGTCATTGCTCATGTTAGACCTTGCCACAGTTGATATCTGCTGGTAGTGGTTTTCCTCTTATTTTTCTTTGTATGTCTTACTTATAACTCAACTTGTAACAGATGGGTTAATGGACAGAATTGAGGCATACCCTCTCATGCACACACATGTGCAGAGGGAACTAGGAACTGCAGGAGCAGAAGGAGGAAAGCAGGGGTTACCAGGCCATTGGCTTTGCTTAAGCATTTCTAACTTTCTTTTGCTTTTGGCTGCACAAATACATCCTTTTTTATTATACTTGTTACTATAGCTGTTAGCGAGAGCTCCAGCAAAGGTTATTCCTTATTGAAGGCGTACTTTCAAAAGTATTTGTAGAAATACTGATTTTTCACAAATTTCTGTAGCTCTCTGAAGAAGGCAATTCCTAGGCTAATGCTTCCCAGCTCTAATCATAAAGATGCTCTCGGCCTTTTTATTAAACACTACTACCCCTTGTTACTGATAAACAGCCAGTCTGAGGATTACGAATGATTGAAAATTAAAATTAATCAGCAACCTGTTTCCTTCAGGAAATAAATTTAGCGTCATCCTAATCTGAGGAGAGAAAATCAAAATAGTGAAGTGCACTGAATAAATGATTAACTATGAATTACTGAATAAGTTTGAAACATGCTTCGTGGCACAGAGTGAAGGGACTACTTTAAGTGGAGCCAGAGAACAGAAATGCTCTGGGATGCAGAGCCTTTAGAATAATGGAGAATTAAAGCTGCCTTACAGGAATTGACTGGATATGTCTATAGCAAATAGAGGTTGTATGGTCTAAATCTCTTTTCTTTTTTCCTGGTTCCCACATGAGGATACACTTTAGTGGTTGCTATTCTTAATAGTTCCTCTTCTTTTTCACATATGTAAGTGCTTTCAAAGTATACGGCTGTATAACATACGTTTTCTTTGGCAACAATTAAACATTTGCCATATAGGCTACTGTGACAACACTCCATTCTCTATCTTTAGACGTTCCTGTGTAACCTTATCTAGGTGTTCCTGCTCCGGCAGGGGGATTGGACTAGATGATCTTTTGAGGTCCCTTCCAATCTCTAACATACTGTGATACTGTGATACCACATAATAGAAACCTGCTTTAACGCTGTATTTACATAGTTGATACTTGTAGAAGAGTGTCAAAAATTTGGGCTGTTGGGATGAAGGAGTTTGCTGTTGGAGAGGTACAAACTGGTTTAGCTTATTGGTTTGCACAGTGTTTCTGCAGTCAGCTCCAGCACATGTGCAAGCATTCTGCCCCAGAATAGTTTATTATTGCTGCGTTGACTAGTCATCAGGTTGCAAATGTTGCTTATGTTTCGTTACTTCTTTTCCAGACCTGTTTTCTTCTATCAGTGAATGTAATTGGTCAACGAATGGATTTTTATGCCATGATTCATGCCTTCTGGCTGATTGCTGTATTGTATAGACGTAGAAGAAAAGCTATTGCAGAGATCTGGCCGAAATACTGTTGTTTTCTGGCATGCATCATTACCTTCCAGTACTTCCTTTGCATTGGCATCCCACCTGCTCCTTGTAAAGGTAAGAACACTTATCCTTTGTGGACAATTACTGCTGCTTGATTTTGCACAAAAGTGCTGGAAAATTGATACATATTTGGAAGAAAAGGATGAAGTAATTGTTTTAAAGTGCTGATTGCATTTTTGCGTGCTTCTGTCATACAGACTATCCATGGAGAAGTGGTAATGCCAACTTCAACTCCAACATCATAAAGTGGTTATATTTTCCAGATTTCATTGTGAGACCAAACCCTGTCTTCCTTGTCTGTAAGTATTTTAGCACATAGTTGTGAAGTGTTTACAAGCCCTTTACTTAAAACATCTATCTAGTGTCATTTGAAGCCACCATTTTGTTTACTCTTCAGTAGAAAATTGGCATATTCTGTGGGAGATTGAATGCTAAGTATTACTTTGTATGTAGTTGAAAAATTCAAAGAATTAATATTTTGTGCATGTTTTTCCTTATCCCATTTTTAGTAAAGCAGCATCAAAAAGTGTTAATTATTTTCCCTTTTCTAATTTATTTATCAATAAAAATCATAGACTATGACTGGTAAAACAACTAAATACGTTAATAAATTTCACATCATGTTAAATGCTTTCAAAACCAGCACAGTCTTGGAGGTTCAAAGCGTGGGAAAACAGCCTGATAACTACACTGTAATGTATCACCACCACTCTCTACATCTAAGTTAGTGACTGAATTTTTCTCCTAGATGATTTCATGTTGTTGCTGTGCGCATCCTTACAAAGGCAGACATTTGAGGATGAAAATAAAGCTGCAGTACGAATCATGGCTGGAGACAATGTGGAAATTTGCATGAATCTTGATGCAGCATCCTTTAGCCAGCATAATCCTGTTCCTGACTTCATTCACTGCCGGTAAGACCTTGGAACACTTGGAAACTACAGTGCTTTCTTTTGTGTAGAGTTCTGTAGTGTGAAAGTAATTCTCCCAGCTTCCAGTTTTCCTTGAAATTTATATTCATGTATGTTCTCATCTCATAACTTTCACTGTTGCATGAAACAGCATATAGTTAGCTCCTGGGTAATCATCTTCTGGTTTAGAAAAGAGCAGATGAAAACAAATCTTCCTAACATGGCTGATTGTTTTAAGTGCTCCCCAGAGGAATGTTCGGTGATAAATTTGCCTGAAAGTATGTATTCCCTCTATGAATGCCCTGTGGGACAGTATTTATGGTGGACTTCAGCGCTCTGGTGCCTTCCCCAAAACACATGCATGTTAAAAGTATACACTGCAGTCTGAACTCGCCTATGTACATGTTTAATCCCACAAGTTCATCAGTTGTGTCCTGCAGGGTTGTTGTCTAAGCACAAAGTAAGATATAATAGATTGTACTTTGTGCTATTTCATCTAGACATAAGAACCTTAAAAGTGTCTTAGAAGGACAACTGCTGTGTCTTCCTGTTTCTCAACATTGCGTGTAAGGCAAACAATGTAAAAAGGGGGCAGAGGCAGCCTGAGACAGTCTGTTCTGGATGGTGTTCAAACAATGGAGCCATTCCTATGGGATCATTTCAGCAAACACAGATTAGCTCAGCTCTTCTGAGTTGTGCTGGGCATATTTTTAATTAAAGTTGTCTACGAAAGTTTGATGCAATATTACAGGAATAAATGGGAAGAGTAAGATTTCTTAGCTATTGTGTTTTGTCAGGCTAAAGTGTTTGTTTTGTGAATGCATGTTACCAACAGATATCTGAGTGCAAAAGGAATTTAAAAAATTGAACTAACATCTAGAAAAATCTCCCTTTTGCGAATAAACTTTTATTTCTGTTACCAGTGAAGTGCTATCACCAGAAGTCCGTATCAAGAGCTTTAAGCTGATCCTGCTGTTTCTGTTAGAAATGGTGGCCAAATCTGTCCTGAAATAGCATTGAAAAGGAAACCATTGAAACACATTCAATTGACTCATGTGTCCAGTGATTTGTAGACATTGCTAGGCAAAGGACAAACAATTCTTCCCCTTGAGTATTTGCAGTCTATACGGTGGGTCCAATGCTCTAGATCCAGTAACATAAGCAGAGAAAAGTCATAGTCTCTCTTCAAAATGCTCCATCCAATGGGAATGATTTCCAAGACTGCCAAATGGGGCTTGGTTGAGAAGAACATGTAGCAGGGACTGACTTTTTTCTTGCCACTGTGGTGGTGTCCATCTTAGCAAAACCTAATACAGCAGTTGCATCAGGCACTGTGACTGGTCACTTAGAAGGACCATCACTGGTCCTCCATGGTAACATGGTTGCTGGCAGAAAGAAAAGATCAAATTTCCTCTCCTTAGTCCAGAAAAAAACAAACAAACAAAAAAAAATTGTGAGAAAAAGCAACAATTAAAACTCATGTGTTTTAAGTCTATCTTCAGAAGGGTAAAGAGGCAAAGAAATCACTGCTTTTTAGCCTTTTTGACATCTTTTCAAAGTTCCCTGGAATCTGATAGGTATTTCTGGTCATCTGTAGAAGATATTCCCAAAAGTCAAAGCATTAAAAGTTTGAAGCACAGAGGATGTTCTTTGAAGATTTCGGACGGGAATCAGAGTCAGGTTTATAATGGAAAGCAAGGTCCAAGCTGAACTGGCCTGCTGCCTTTCCACAATCCTTTTGGTTAAGTTCTGTGTTTTGGTTCATATGCATGGTATGCATCAGCTTGAAGTCATTGGTGGCATCATATCCATTCAAACATACTGCTTGGCATGTGCTGACAAAATGGACCTCTGTACAAATGATTAATTATATGCAACTGTTTAATTAGAAGTTTGCAGTTTGCATAAAGCATTAAGTATTACTGGTGAAGAGTGCAAAAAGGAGAAAATCAAAGAATACCATTAGTAGCGACGAGCTGAAAAAATAAACTGTGGTCACTTTATACTTGTTCCAGCTAAATACAGAAATCCGTGCGACTGTTTCATGCGATAGTTTTATGTGGTGTTTATAAGAAGTAGGATGAAAAGAATAAGGCAGAGAAAGGAACAGAACAGGGACAATTTTGTTTTAAAAAATGCATAAAATGAATAGAAACACATTAATTTCAGGAACAGAGGAAATTCCTGTTTATGATATCCTTTCTTGCAAATACTCAGGCAGGTAAGCTGTGACTTCTTTTTTGTTTGATTGCTTTTAGTGTTAGGTGTCTGCATCTGTAATGGGAGGAACATTCTTGTAGAATGTTGTATATGGATATAAACAGACCTTCCTTTAGTGTGAACTGCATAATAGATCTTGTGTTCTTCGCGGTATTTTTCTTTCTTGAGCCCTTAAGTGTCTCCTTCTATGATTTTGCTAAGATGCAGGTTTTCAGGTTTTCCCAGACTTTATATGATGTTGGTTTTGAGAGGTTGCAGTGCACATACTTAATCTTAAATGCCCAATTTGCTTCAGAGAAGCACCAGAAAATGCCTGACAGTCTTTTAAAGTGACTGAATCTTGTATTAGAGGTTGCAAGTTTTTAAAAATGACTCTCAAGCTCAGGAGAGTCCACCAGAGATATACCTCAGAAGGAAGTGTATGTGTCTGGCCTCCATCCAAGACAATTTGGAACTGAAAGAGCTTTGTCTAAGAACATTTCTTGCACTTTGCCATGGAAGTTTCAGAATGGTCTAAATATTTAGCAACATGGACAAGAACTTGGTTCAAACCTTATCCAAGCAAGTGAAATGAAAAATGGCATTTATCCAGAAGTCAGTCAGAAAGAGCCAAACAAATAAGTGAAGGCAACCTGGTTATAAATAAATCACAAAGCATAAAAAAAAGTAATGCTTAGTATTTATGTGTTTTCTGAGAAGCCCAATATGTGTTTACTGCCATGTACAAGTGGCAGTTGCAGTTCAAATACACTTCGAGAAGCATCTCCCCTTGAGAAGACACTAGTTGGTCTCTGTTCTAGCAGGCTTGGATAAAAAGTTTTAACTGCAATATAAACAGTGGCAGAAAAAGAACATATTTCCAAATGCTTAATTTTCTTCTCTCTGGAGAACTACTTGAGCTCAGCAATGATAAATACAGTCTAAGGAAGAGATTTCCTGAAAATTTTCTTGTCTTTCCACCCCCAGATTTCTCAGGGGATATGTGCTTGACCCCAGGGGAGAGCACAACCAAAGGGCTTTGAAACAGAAATAAAAACAAAGAATAGAAGCAGGGGCTTTTAAAATGAAACAGGATTTAAAGTGACTTCACTGAGGATAATCCTTTCCCACAGTGTCTAATGCTGGAAAATTCTCATTTCAGTTCCCAAGCAGTTTTCAGACATTCTCCTATACATTGTCAGGGAAAAGATTTGGGACTGTAATCTACTTTTTTCCTCTTAAGAGCAGAAGGAATACTAGCAGCCAGTCATTGGACTATCCTTGTTAGTACTTGCACCCTGGGAGCCGTCAGGTGAGTCAGGTGAAGTCTCAAAGGCTGCTGTAATACATGGCATAAAACTATTAAGAAATGGGCAAAAATAAGATAAAAATGATGAGCAATTGTATAGAAATAGCTAAAAAAGGACTTAAAATGGGTTAGTAAGGGCCAAAAATGGTTCAAACAAAGGTAGGAAGGAGGAATTTCTTTCCTGTTAGGGTGGTGAGGCACTGGAATGGGCCACCCAGGGAGGTTTTGAATGCTCCATCCCTGGCAGTGTTCAAGGCCAGGTTGGACGAAGCCCTGGGTGGCTTGGGAGTTGGAACTAGATGATCTTAAGGTCCTTTCCTACCCTAACCGTTCTATGATTCTATTCTATGTCCCTTTATTCAAATAAACCTTTACACTTCACTCTGCCTCACGAGCTGTTATCAAAACCATGATTTCCCAATAAAGCAGAATAAAAAGTGATTAAAAGTAAATAGAACAGAACAAAAAACTGAGTAGAAGTGAGCAAAACTGATTATGCCTCAATAAAAAGTAAACAAATGCAAACAGAAGTGATTAAAAACTGGAAAACAAAAAACCAAAACCTGAAAAATGTGACTAAAGAGCGAGTAGAAAGTGAATAAAGAGAAAAAAATTAAAAGTGGCTAAAAGTCAGTATTAAGTGAATAACACACACCCGTGCATGCACACCCACCTCACACATGCAACCCCACGTACACCCCCCCCAACCATGCACATGCACCCCCACCCACAGAGAAACATGCACAGCCCCCCTCCAGCCACACTCACACACAGAAACATCCCCCCACACACGCCCCCATTCACACACACACCGTCACTCATACACACCACCACAAACATGGACACACATCCCCCCACTCACACAACCCTCCATTCACACACACACCACTCGCACACACAGGCACACCCCCATGCACACCCCCCACCCAGACACAACCCCCCCACCCCCACGCCCCATACACACCCCCATCACTCACACATTCACACACACCCCCGTCCTCCACTCACAAAGCCCCCCCATGCAACCCCAAACACGTACACACCCCCCAAACACACACCACACACACCCGGACACACCCACCCACACCCCCACACGCACACCACACACACCCAAACCCCCATACACACCCAAGCCCCCATACACACCCCCCACACAACCCCTCACTCACCCACAAACATGCACACAAACCCAACACCCACCCCCCCACACACCCAGCTCCCCACACATACCCAAACCCCCATACACATCCCCCCACACAACCAGCCCCCAGACACAGCCCCCCACTCACACACAGCCCCGCATGCACAAACATGCACACACACACCCCCCCCCACGTTCCCTCCCACACACAACCCCCCACTCACACACCCCCAGACACACACACAAACCCCCAGACACACAACCCCCACTCACACTCCCATGCCTGCACACACACCTCCACACACACCCCACAAATGCACTCCCCACACTGAACACCCCACTCACACACACACCCCAC